GTCACACAATAATTACACTCTTTACTTTTATTAAAACTATAAATTTTAGGTAGTTGCGTAACCGAAATAATTGAGAACACTCACTTAGGCTAACAAATAAAACTTTATTATTTCCCAAAGAACATTTTGCGGTTGACCTTTGATTTTACTTTCTGTTGATTAGGCGTAAGTCAATTATCAGATACAAATAATAACATTACTTACACTTATATTTATTAACATTTTCAAAGCATGGTAAATATTTTGGTGTGATGTTTGATAAAATAAAATATTCCTAGCGATCTTAATAAGATCAGGTAAATATGCCATCCATCATCATCATTAGCCTATTAATGTCCCTACTGCTGAGGCACAGGCCTTCCCTATGGATGGAATAGGGAGTTAGGGCCATGACCCACCATGCCATCCATGCTTCCATACTAATATTATAAATGTGAAAGGGTATCTGTCTGTTATATCTTCACGCTGAACCACTTAGGGTGAAATTCGGTATATAGTTTGAGTCCTAGCGAGGGACACATGATAATTTTTATCTCATAAATCATCCTTCAAGGGGGTGAAAAGATGGTTCCACTTTTCCACGCAGACGAAGTCGCAGGCACCCATTAGTGATAATATATATTCGGAAAAAAGCGTTGGTTACTATGCTAATGACCTAATGTTTGTAGGTAGGACCTAGGATTTTATGTTCAAACTAGTAAAAGCCAAATAAAGGTTAATGCAACCGCGTAAACAATTGAAAGCTGTGGGTTGACACTATTACACTACACTTTGGAATAAAGTCTGAGGTCCAACCAATGCTAAATGTCTAATGCTTCACCTTTGATTCTCTGTACCTCTGCCAATTTCACACCATCCCCCTCATTAATTACCTAAGTAGTTAAGCTAGTAACTCAGTATTTTGATCGCAGTACTCAATTCAGGACATTCTGAGAACAGCGCCAAAACCCAGGCTAACTAATCCAAAATTTTCGTTTATGACTAAATTTATAAGTACCCAGAAAATAAATTAGGCATGTCGTCCTAACTGAATGCTTCTTCGCGATCATAGCTAGATTATACAAATCACATTACTGTATGATTGTATCAAGTGATTAGGCATCATCTATTTTCTCAGCTTTAGATCGCGCAATTTACGCCTTAATATTTAGTTTAGGATTGCGTGCAACTAAATGTAGAACAGTATTGTTATTAATGAATTTATTGTGAGTGAGAGGCCCAAGGTTACTTCACTGTTGCTTTTCGACGTACCATTATCTGTATTCGTGCGGTCCGGCCACAAATGGGCACTCGTTCAAGTGATATAGGTTGCAGATAGGAATTGTGGACGAAAGGCCAGCGCAAAGGGCACGCCCAGGCTTGTCAGCGAGCTATTAGATCAATGCAATGTGCTAACACCCACATCGGAGTTTGCCGTGATCAGTAATCGAAACTATACAATTAAAAGAGAATTTACAAGAGAGGAGCGAAAGTTTGGCTTTGCAAATATATAAACCAGTATGTAACATCTCTTATCTATTAGACAAGTCCGTCCGTCCGTCCGTGGTGCTGTTTCAGCGGTCAAACCGTAAGAGATAGAGAATGTTTAAGTTATAAGTTAAGAATAGTCTGATAAGACTACAAACCGGATGTGAGTAACGTAGCACTTCCGGTTTTCGAGAAATCACGTGATTTCTATTTCAAACGAAACCACACAAAATCTCCGAAGTTCTCAATTAATTAAATCCTTTTTTTTTTGTGAACATTTGGTTCACAGGTTTGCTAGTTTATCTATAAAACGAAATTAAAAGGCTGTTAAATTTGTAATTATTTCTAATACAATAGAATGCTTTGCAAAATTTGCTAAGGAAACTCAAGCGGTTGTCCGCGATGGCCTTTGATCTTTTATTTATTGCGACATTAATGTTTGTAATCTTCAAGATATCATAAATTCTTCCGAGTCCGAGTGCGTTCGCCTATCCGCCTATTCCACGTCTCACCCACAGTCATTCTGATCAAGCACCCCACGCAGTCCTTCCGACAAGGTCTTACTGTCGTGCCCTGGCTCATCTTGCTGGCGATGATCCTTTTCCTATTTGAAAATCTCAATGCTCCTCTTTTAAGTCGCCGATTAACTAGACGGGCAGCAACATTTATCATGTTAACGTATGAATATTATGGCTCGTACTTCATATTGTACTTCATAAAATGCATAATGTTATGTTCCTTGAGAGCCTCCTTGTATTGGAGGCCAACTCGATTGTTTCTCAGAATGAATTGCTTTTCACATAGCGTTTGTACACGATTTGAAATATCTTACGTAGATTTGAGTCTTGCTTTGTTTTCATAGTTGATTTACATTTTAAATTGAGAATAGTTAGTTCAATTAAATATTTCATTTTTAAATCAGCATTTTTTTTTGTGTCCAGATCACTGGATTGTAATTCTTGTGGGAGTAAATGCACTTAAGATCGTTGTAGAATGCAAATAAGTGTTGCAATAGTCGCCGATATCCAGTATTCAGCCGCCCACTGGTATCCTGTAGGTATCGCCTATTACCTATAAAAGTTCCACTGATTTTACAAACATGGAAATTCAATCGGAATCAATTAAGTTACAAAAAGAATAAACTCGTTTTGTGAAGAAGCCAATGATTCCTTGAAAAACAAGTCGATTTTAGTACAGCATTCGCCACAGTTGAGTTAAATTTGACGATTTGCCTCAAGCGTTGTTTCGACACGCCATATCGCAACATGCAGATACTAAATCGTCTGCTGTTGAGCATTTCCCACACAGCCTGCCATTATTATAGATCTTGTATTAGCAGAGTTTGTCCCTGAAGAATAATTCCGGACGTATTACCCATGGTTTGCGACACCCAACTACGACCAAGGAATCAGTCGATTGATTAATGAGGTACTCGAGGTATGCAGTGGTCGTTACGGTAACTGGGTCGATTTCGTGGTCGGTAATGCATCGTTTGGTTACTGTTTTACTATTGTTTTAAGTACTCAGGTCCTATATTGTTGAGCCTTGTTCCTGTCGTATTAAGTATCAAGCACATGGCTGATGGCTACTTACATAACAATATGAAAGGAAATCGCCAAAATGCGTTTCAACAAATTTTGATATTATAAATTTTAAATTATAGATGCATGAGAGCACAACACCCAGAGGCGTCGATTACTGCGCGTGCGCCGGTCACGCGCTCCAATGTCGAAATAACATTCACTATTTGTATTATTATCACTCTTAATCGCACACGTCTAAATATTATTTTCGATTGAAAATTTGAAATTTATTAACAATCGCTACAACTGCTTCTACCACGGATTAACTATTTGTGGGAAACTCGGCTTTTGTTTGCATGTAACTGTTACTATTGTTCAATCGTATGTCAAAATAACACCATTATTATGACGGAGTTTCAAATGCAAGGCCACCTTGTGACATGCAGTTAGCTGTGTTTATCTCAAAACTGCATAATACGATTGACAGCAAATTTATTACACCTTCAAGCCAGACAGAAATTTACTAAACGGATATATTTAATGATGATAGTTTTCATGTAGGTATACTTACCGTAAATAACAATACCGATTTAATGACTTTTCATAAATCCTTTCACATATTTAAAATAAATGAAAGTAACTTTTGATGAAATCATTTTTAATCTTTGACAAAAAGGCATCATTTTGACTAGTACTTTTCCAAGTTACTATTTAATCTTTGTAAATTCACGTAAATATACCTATTATTAGAGATATTATATTCATTATAAGATTATGTAGGGCAAGTAAAATGTACAATTTGGTTTATGAAAACAATACGCAAAATTTTTAAAACCATTATTTAACGTGTATTGCATTTTTGATTATATTTATGCATGTGATACGCCAAGTGAGACGTCCAATGGCCCAAATCCCACACAGCTCGTGATCACAATGCAAACGTGACCAAATGATACCTCTGAACGAGATAAATCTCTGAATGCCCTCGCTTTAACATTCTCACAGTTGATCTTGGGATCTCCGAGAGTCCTTGGAGAGTCTACAATTTTAGCAACATATTCATAATTTCGTCATAATTTTTTGTTCTATTCAAATTTATTACTTTTGATATCCTTTCTTCATAAGGAACTTAAGACTGCCCGTCGATTTATGGATATTTGTTTGTTTTCTTACTGACCATAATATTAATATGTGTATAGAATAGAAATAAAGTATGTTCTTTTTATTTGCATATATAGTTTGTAAATATACTATACATTTATTTTAACATGTAGTTTTCAGATAAGTATAATTTAACACTCCAACGTTTTCAGTTCTTCTCAAACTTTCCATGGTAGTTTGGAACGAAAAGACCACTAGTTGTAACATACTTTTATTATGTTGACTAATAATTTTGAAAATACGATGGCTCATTAATGTTAGAAGGACATGTACTGATATTTCAAAATATTATTGACATTTATTGTATAAGTTGAATGTGATTTAGTTTAGAACTGTAGAATATTGAAACAATGAACATTGTTGAACAAACCCTCATTACAAAAGTTTCACATTATAATGATTCTAGATGGACTGTCGTTGCACGTTTTAAATATTAAAAGATATTATAGTATATTTTATTAAAATTGCATCCTTTTTCTGCTTCTGGAATACAGCTTAAGTTGTCTTGCTATCATATTCTTCACAATTGACAAAAGTTGCTTTTTGAAAACACACCTAATAAATATAACAAGTTTCAACGGTATTTCGTTTTTTCGTACTTCATTCGAAACTCCTGAAAGACTGATTAAAAACGATTTATCTGTTTTTGCCCGCTGTTTGTTAATGTTTTGTCAATATGTTAAAGATATCTCACAGTCTTCTGACTTATTCAATCAATCACTTTTCATAAGACGTAGACATGAAAAACTTTTATGCGTTCACATTTTTGTAGGTTTCACCTTTATCGCACGTGAACTGCACACATGCCAGTTTTCTTTTGTTTTATATATAATGTCTTCCTCTTTTCAGAATGTTTCGGCGCTCAGTCAGATCGTTCAAGGCACCGTTCCGGTCCCATCAGAAGCGTACCGGTAGCGGCTAACGTTAAGCGGGACGTGGACTTCGACTGCCCTGAAGAGTTCGGTTACTACCCGCACCCAAGCGACTGCACCCTGTATTACGTCTGCGTGTTCGGAGGCGCCTTACTCGAATCCTGCACTGGAGGACTTATGTACAGGTAAGTGATCTATCACAATACAGATATTGTTCAGTCCAAAAGTTAATAAAGAGACGATAACAATTCCTTTTTACTTATTTTTTTTATTTTTCAATATGATGTTTAAATAACAAACGTTCCAGGTACTTTCAGTTCCAACTTTGCTCTTCTCTGCCGTTGTACCAACAAAAAAGCAAATTAAATATTCTTTAATTCTATTTCCAGCCACGAGCTCCAGACATGTGATTGGCCGAGAAACGTTGGTTGTGATGGTGTTAGCGCGCTGGGAGGCGAAGAGCTGGAGAGAATAAGTGAGAGGGAGAGAGATCCGCCGCCGCCTCCCCCGCCGCCGCGCCGCACCCCGCCTCCACCCCCACCAAGAGCACAGCCAAATCCTGTCATAACTTCCAGAGGTCAGCCGAAATTCAACCGCGAGGAATACGAGAAGGTACGTGACAAAGCTTTTGCTCTCGTTGTTATTCTGCAAATCTAATTGATATTACTTTTGAGGAAAATAATATTTATTTGTTAATCAGATCTACAAAAAAAATAAGACTACCAAAATTATGGAGTTAAATTTTGTGTAACAAATAATTTCAAAAGTAAATTAAACCCTGATGTATAAACCATTTTACAGCAGCAGCAACTGTATGCCGAAGTTGACGATTTGCCGCCCGTTGAAGAAATCGAAAGTGACAGACAGCAACGGGTATATCGCGGGCAACCTTCTACAATAGGTCAGGTCCAGAAAGATAGAGATGGCTACTCACAAGTCAGCTCAGGAAGAAATTTTAATACCAATATCATTCCTGCTTCGATACCACAAAACAATGGCAAGATAGGTTCCTTTTCTTTTGGCACACAAGTTAATGAAAGAAGAGGTGATGAAAGAAGAAATGACGAAAGAAGGACTGCTACAGTAACTCAGGCTCCACAAACGTACAGGTAAATATTGCTATTTCAATAAATGTTACTGACTTATTACATATTTTACTGTTAATGGACTCATTATTATTTCAGTGAAGACAAAAGCGACAACGTGACTGACTCTCATCATGACAGACAAACTGACATTGCGACTAATGAAATAAACGTCTCTGAAGTAATAGAAAAACCGATATTAAGAAAGAAAAGAGATGTAGTAGGTAGCGAGTCAAATCCTTCTAAAACAAATACAACCGCTGATAGTATTTCAAAAAGAAGTAGCAATGATGAAGAGATGGAATATGTTGAATTCGATACAGTGACCATGCCTACTTATGGTGATGAACGTAATCAAGATGATAGCGAAAGAGGAAAACGACAAATAGGATATTATATAAAAAATGGTTACAAAATCCCAGCAAAAACTTGGGGAGTACCAAAGCAGATCAATTTGGTAGATTTCAGACATCTTGGCTATAGTCCGAATATCCAAAATGTGAGGCATCCCTCTAATTATGATGCATCAGAAAATTTTCAGAGACCATCTGAATCAAGTCCCTTAAACTCATACCAATTGTATCAATTAGATAATTTTCAGTCGCAAAGACCATTTAAACCTAGTTTGCCTGATCCCACCAAACAAAAACTTACCCTTAGTGCTTCAAATATAGCTACACAAATAATAACTAAAAGTCCTCCGATATCAGCATTAAAAAGTAACGACAACCCATTCGCTTCATTGGCCGGTGGATTTTTTAACAATAACCCAAAACAAAGTAACCACCATGAGAATAGACAATTTTCCTCGTTTTATTCTTCTTTCGATGATGCTCTGCATCTCCCTAGTACTGTAGTCACTGGAAAACCAACTATTATGTCTACTTCGACTCGTACACAAAATAAGCACGAAACGGAAGCATCAACGGTTAAATATAATCGATACACTCAAAATGCCGACCGCCCATCGACACACATGAACACCAAACAGAAACCTATACATGGTGCGCCTCCTAACAAACCTGAAGTCAGTGATGATGAAGTTTCTGCGGAAGAAGAAGAATCTACAGAAGAAGATTCTTTGGAGAATTACGAAGATGGATCGGACCACGATTTTAAGCATGATTTTCCGGAACCACCTTATGAATATACGCACTATAAATTTAAAGACATAGAAAATCCTTTTGCGAATCCAAATTTTGATTTTGATTCCTATTTGGCTAAACTTAGTGGTGGACATTATTCTGTCCAAAGTTCACTTAAGCCGCCAAGTAATCAGAACAATGCGTTAAAATCAACCGTTTCGCAATTAGAAATAACTACTCAAACTAATACTAATATGCCACTACGGTCATCGACACTTAATTACCAAGGCATGAGTACTCCGAGACCATTCAATGGAGGCGCAGAAATAAGTTCCATTCGGCCAAGTGATAGCAATCAAAAATTTTCGTCATCTACTATACAAAATCTGCCTTCTGAGCAGTGGACACAAAGACCTCAACAACAACGGCAAAACTTAAATCTAGAACAACAGCAAACATTAAATCAACATGTTTATCAAGTGCCACATCAAAATGTGGGAATACCCATAGATGTTGCTAGACCAAAACTGAAACCACCTAATTTTAAAGATGACCGTCACTTGCCGATTAGCTATAGTTTTAACCGACCTTTAGAAAGTGTTATTCACTATCCACATATAAAAGAACAAGATACCCATACAGTTTCCGTGACACAAAAGCCGCTTGTTTTTCTAACAGGAACAGGTACTCCTTTATTGTTGTCAACACCAAAACAGCAATATCTGTTAAAACAGCATGCAACAGGAAAGCCCCTCTTGTATTCATCGGTAAAACCACAAAATTCACATGCAGCATACAAACAATCAACGCGAAAGCCTCTGACTACATTGGCTAACGAACAACTAGCTGCATTACAGCATTATTGGGGAAATCCATCACCTGTACCTGAATCATATTTCTCATTTCAATCATCAGTAAGCCCAATGCCATCAGAAATGTCAAAACATGAAAATTTATTTTCAAAAGCAACGAGACCTACTCCTCACAATAGCCATAATTATTATTCCGTTACAGTTAAAGAGAACCATAGTAGCTCGACAAAAACACCACCTAAGCGGAGACCGATTCCAAAACCTTCCCCTGAAATGAATGATTATTATTACGATGATGATGAAGAGGATGAGCAATATTACTATGAACCTCCAGTCAAATCGCAGTACATGCCAAGCAGTGAAGTGAAACCACAAAGGCCTCCTATGGCTCAAAACTACAAAGAATATGATGATGATGAAGATCAACCGATAGTTCATATAAAACCTTATAGTAGCTCAAGAACGCCAACAAGATTTACTACACGAAAGCCTGAAACCATAACAAAAAATTATAACGACGTCTCGGTAGTGACCAAGAGTTCCACAAAAGATTCAAATAAAAACTTAAATGGGAAAATACCCATACCAGTCCTAATAAATTATGCAACACCTGCATCTACTGTATTGATCCGTCCAGATATTTCCAACTACGAAATCCTTCATCATGCTCCAAGAAACAGAACTGTACATTTAAGAAAACCCATACAATCGGATAGCAGTCCGTTTACGTTAAAGCCACCAAAATACCTAAATCAAACTACTTTGAGACCTTATACAGTCAGACACAGACTAGCTAAGCCTACTGTTTCTAGTCAACCTATATCACAAAATGACGATACTAAACCAATGAGAGGAAGGCAAAAACACCAAAATATAGTAATTCAAATTAAACATACCACACCTCGAGACAACCATAACGAAGAGACTCGCTATACCAAGACTAAACATGACGATAGGACAAACAGGTAATGTTGACTGTTAAAAGATGAATAACTCATTATATTATTTGATTTTAACCAGACATTTGAACAATATATGTATACTCGTACCTACTAACCAACAACACCAATAACCAGACTGATACATGATACATTAATTTTATAATTTCTATACTGTATGCACTTATTCTGACCCATTAATTTGACTGTAGACTTGGACTATAGACTCGAATAATAAGGATGCTTTGTAAATAGCGAAATAGAATATTAAAAGGGTTAAATTTCCAGTATCAGTTGCCATTTGTGACGGTTGGAAATATCGCTTATTTTATGTTTTAGTTTGGAACCAACGGAAAATGTAACACCTGTCTCATATACGGCAAGTCCTCGTCCTAAAATGCTCTACAATGGTTCGCAGACCTATAACCCTGATCAATATGATCCTTTCTATGCTGTTTACGATGAAGATGGTGAATTATACAAGGATACAGGTAAGACTGAATAATTCGATAAAATATATAATTGAGATTTATATACAAGTTTTAATAATAGGGAATATGCATGTAATTTAAATAAGCCTCTTTTTTATATTGACCTCATGGTTTCGCGTACTCGAGAGGTCACGGGCTCGTAACCCGGTGGAGGGAAATGTTAGTATGATGAATGCTCGAGTTCAGAAACGATTGTCCTACCTGGCGGTAACAGCTCATAATGAATAATGCCCTTCCAATCCCACTATAAACACAGCATCACCTTGTTGTGTGTTAACCCGGGTTACGCCAGAGTCTGTGAAGTCTGATCGGCCTTTAACCATGAACTTTTTCGCAAGTTCTTGTCGTACGTGTTCAACTTTTCATCACCAATTATCAGCTTCTTAAAAAATGGTTCGGTTTCATTACGTCGCAATAAAGAATCACAAATGAGTACACGGTTCATCAAGTTTCTTTCAGTGAGCTCGTGGGCACCGATTTTTTTTGTGTACCCAGCTTTTTTCAAAAGCGGCAAAACTGTTTTATGGTCAATTCCCAGTTCTTTAGGTACATCGTAACTACTGACATGCCGATCTTGCTCCACTTCTCAAAAATGGCATCCAATTTATCGGTAACAAGGCGCCAAGAGCGACGTGCATCTTTGCCATAAAATTTTTCGAATTTCAACCAATTTTGTGCTACTCCCTCAGACAATGCACTAGGTCTATACACATCACATTTTTTTGCGGCTTGCGTTGCGCTTTTACTTTTTTTGTAGTAAAATTTTGAAATTTATCGTTTTTTTTCTAAATGGCAAACCGTGCGAGGTTTGTGCATTTAGCCAAATATATCAAATTTCTTCATTATATTCACTCATCTTGACACTAAGAAAAACAAATGAAATGCACAATTTTTTCTAATTTTAATTTGGAATTATCGTGTTTAAAATTAAATAAACTTTATAATGATTCCAAAACCAGCCAGATATAAATGGTATAGCCAAAGAGATTTTATTATAAGTTCATAAGTACTATAATACGAAAGACATTTTCTCCAACCCATTATTTTGAAACGCGACAATAGCGCTTCTGACGTAAAAATATAACAAACGTAATGTTCACAGGATATGCCAATGTCAACGAGAATAAAGTGCGAATACGTAGATGGTATAGCCGCGTTCCTCCTAGAAATCGAATGCAATTTTTCATTATGACATTTAAATTTATACCAAAAAATTAACTAGACCTAATGTTTATTTGATTGACGTAGGATCTGACTTCCACCCGCAGTTAAGGTATGGAACGCAAAATGTCAGTATCTTGTAAGGTTATTGATCTTATTTGTAGGTTTGGATGTATCTTGACGTCACATGCCAGCATTCGAAAAGCGTCAGTTTAAATTGCCCGTGCAAAGTAACTATTTTTTATTTTTTTTTAGACACTGTACTATTTTTTCGACGTAGATTTTTTATACTGTATTTATAAAGGAGACGTAAACTACTTAATAAAAATAAATAACATGTATATTCCCTATTGTGGCATCAAACAAGATATAACAAGTCCAAATATAATAACTTGTTAAAACAATTGTGCATGTATTGAAACTTTCACAGAGGTTTTGATTTTTGATACACACACATTTTGATAAGTAATATTTAATAATATAATATAGGTTCTTCTTAAAACAACTTATTTAACGTTTGAAGATCGAGTTCCATTTTGAAAATTAACATTGTATCTTAAAGCACTATTAAAAGTTATCACTTTTCTATAACTTTTTTAAGTAACATTTTAGCTTTTAACTCACTTTTCATTAAGAGGAACTGAATCTGGGTACTTCACCATAAATGGACAAGTACAGTGCATACATAGTAAATCCAAAAGCAAGGATTTGTTTGAAATGTTTTAGTTGAAACAGAATGTAATTCATTCGTTAATATTCTGTACTTTTCTATTTTGAATTATAACGCACTAACTGGAGGTGGTACTGGGGTTGACAGACTATGTGCAGCAATATAATACGGCTTCGCTCCGACCGGCAGTCCAGCAGACCTACCGTGGCACTCCACCACCCGCTCGGAGACCAGTCGAGACTTACACACCCAGACCTGTGCCAGTGGACTACGATGATGCATTGATTCAAGGACAGGTATGTTCATTAGTAACAATATCAGAAAGAATATCCATGTAAAAAGTTTAAGGGTAATATGATAAATATGCTTTTTTGACATCTAAAGTGTCTGGCAATAAATATTGCTCAGTCCTCAGACTGTAAGTATAGTGAGTAAAATTTTTACGTACCTGTGCGACCTGATACCTGAAAATTCTCTCACAGCACAAGTTAGCGAGTATGTATACGTTCATTGTACACAATATGATATAACTACTCGATTATTCCAATTTTGTCCATGAGAAAATAAGTAAGGTCTGGCGGTCTTGCGATCTTACTTTTTAATGAATTGTTTGACTACGTCATAAAGGTAAAGCCTTTATTGTAAAGAATATTAATCTACTCTTTCCTACGAGTATATGAAATTATTTTTCATTCAAATTTCAGATTAGCAACCAGAATCAATACCAATCACCCATACGCCATTCTACAAGGTGAGTTGAATGTAATCTAACATTACTGCGTTTATGTAGTTTACCATAAATAAATTTAAGAAAAAAGTTTTTACGTAAATTTACCTAACAAGCTAATTAACTTGTTGCGTACAATGCAGGGGCGATGGTAATGAATTGGGATATGAGCATAATCCAAGCAGTGTGAAGACGACCTATTATGAAGCAACTACTATAAGCACAACTCCTTCTACTACGACTAGCACAAGCACAACCACAACTACACAACGAACTACTCCTGCACTCCTCACTGAAGCAATGACACCGTCTCGTTATACCGCAAGGTACTACAAAAGATCTCCGAAAACATAACACCAGTGAAATTATCAAAGCTTATTCATATTTTCAAATTTCTACATTAACAACCATAATATCATTTATCATTATCATCTCATTACTTTTCATTAATAAATTAACAACCTTTGAACTGATCAATCTTTTAACCTTTAACCTACTCGTAACATTTTTTCAACTAATCATCCTGTTCTTCTTTATTGGTTTGAAGGTTGTTAAAATATTATGTAAATACTATTTGTAACGAGTGTTAATAATCTGGCTGTAATGTAATAACATACGGCTTTTGTGGTATCTTTCTTTTAATAACTCCAATATCAAGAAGACACTACTTCTAAAACTTCTTCTGCTTCTTTCTTGAATCAGTACAGTTGATCTTCCTTTCACGTAGAAAATAATAATGGCTTTTTACATAGAGCCTTTATTGTTTAAGCTCAAATTAACAATATAGCATGTAGTTATTTATTTTATGTAAGAAGCTTAAATTAGAAAGAATTGTTTTGCTTTGTATTCTACAGATCATCCACAGATGAAAACCCCAATCAAAATCCTGAAAAATCCTCAAACAATGACCCCTCAGACGGGTCCAGTGATTCATTCCCAGTTTCTCCTTCGCCATTAATTAACTTATCTTCCCTTGCCAAACCCTTTGAAAGGACTGACAATTCACATAGACTTAGTGAGACTTTACTGCTAAAAGATAAATCTTTGACTTCTAGACATTCTTCTCGTTTCACTAACAACAAACCCTCTTTGGATGTGGTGCAACCTTCTAGTAAAGAAAATAAAAAAGTTGTGTCACTAACTACAGGATTTTCCATAAGGAGAAACCTAAACAATACTAATAACCCTTACACATTGACTGTATTAACGCGGCCATTCGATGATTATAATAAAACACGCGGAGGAAGTGTAATTGAAAATAATAAAAGCGAACAAGGTAGGTACTATTATTATGACACTGAAGATAATATGGAATCTGTAAATATCAAATCTTCCACGCCTAAATCTAATTCCGAGAATTCACTCGAAGTAATTACTCAAAGGAAAGACTTAATTGTAGAATTACAAAGGGATGAAGACATACCTAAACCAGTTCGACCGAAAATTCGTATACCGTCATCAAAAACAAGATACGTTATAAGTACAGAACCAACGACGGTTACCACTACTGCTACTACTAAATATTATTTAAAAAGTGTAGTTAGGCGTCCTTTCCCGTATTCAGGTAATGGCGAACAATATTTAGATTCTACTGAGAATTCTATCCATCCAGAAGTAGTTAGAAATTCCAGTGAAGACAGCAAAAAATCGGATATAGAATTGGTCTCTCAAGCGAATATATCATCTATAAAAGAAAAAACACTATGGGAACAGATTGAAAAATCTGAAGAAATATTAGATGATCCTGTGGTCTCCCCTTACAAGTCTTTGGATAATTTGAGAAATCAGTTAAGCAATCGCGATAATCTTATTCAAGAATCAACAACCAGTTCTACATCCACAACGCCTGTTTATAGTCAACCTGAAACGGAAAAACCTCGATCCAAAACGTCATATTATAGTTACCGCATCGTAGATGAAGTCGTACCCGACCAAACAACTGAAGTATTTAGTGGCAAAGTGAAAAATGTTATTAGAGCGTTCTTTAGTAACTTAGCGAGTACACCAACGCCCAGACTTTTAGAAGAATTTTCTATCACTACTCATAAAAATACACCACAACCAGAGGAAAAAGTGGTAAATATCGGGTTCCAAAAGAAAAAAATTAAATATGTCGATGATAAACCGCTACGGACTAACACTAAAAGAATACAGATTGTAACAGAACCTAGCGTAAATAGTTTTCTCTCCTCCGACGGTAATATTCCAAGTTTAACTGAGAACATTCATGATTTATCATCAACGACAATGTCGACTGTATCGCCAGTTCCTTTAATTATTACGGAGCCAACAGAAACACAAGTACTCATAGATAGTTCTACAAATAAAAACTACCGTACCTTTTCCGACAGACAGTCCTTTGAAAGTAAATTCAATATTATTACTACCACCAAACCGGAAGTGCAAACATCGCATAAATTTCAGAAACTGCTGCATAACCCATCATCTGAACGTAATAATTACGATAGTGTAACTTATAAAAACATTGATGACACTATTACTAAATCATTAAGCATAGATACTACTAAATCTCCTTCTGAGATTGATTGGGACGAACCTTCTAACCAAGTATTAAGTGAAGTAGCTTCGACCACAAGTACTACTAAAGCGACATCGACTGTGAGGAATGAACCGACATCTTCGACTAAGAGTATATCCTTCCCTACACGAGCATCACGCGTCAATCCCGCTATAAAGTTGGCTGCGAAAAACCTCGGAGGTGGGCGCAGGAGTTACCAAACGTCGTCCAAATGTTCATCAGACAACAGTCTGCAAGCGAATCCAAAATGCAACGAAATCAAATACCAGAGGTACAATGCTCGCCGGCCAGTAGTCTATGCCTGAAAGATATATATTTATGGAAGGTGGTGGCTAAGTCTACTTCCTTATTTTCCGCCTCGCGAAGTAACTAGCATGTATACTCATCGAACAATCATTTAATAGCACCTTCAGCTAAACTCTGTCGCTTAACTTTACTCAGCTCTCATTGGGGGACTTCTAGTCGGTTGAGTTTGAAATTTGTTAACTCCTGTTGAACCATTTCCGATTCCTTCACTTTATTGGCAATACTGTACATATTGTGTATGTTGCAAACTTTTAGCTCTTAGATAGAATCTTAGTGGCTATGCATAGATGTTTATAAAATACTGTTTGAAAGTTCCTCAATGTAGTTAAATCTAATGATATTATGCGCACCTCATTGCAACTGAAAATTAAAAAAAAATGTGCACCGTTGTCACCAAAAACAACAACTTTTACATAAGCATGATCCATTTGATCAAAATATATAGTAAGTAATACAATTTGAGCCATGCTTTTATTAACTGTTTCAAAAATAATTTAGTGTCATGAAATTATACTCTTTATCCTTAATATTTTGTTATGAATTTGTCTGTTATTTCAATAATTACAATTGAAGGCTTCATCTCTAAATCACGCGTACTAACTGTGCTAACATCAGTGAGCGTTTGACTAGCAACGTGTTGTTTTCCAGGCCCAGCAGTACCCGGGGCCGCGGCTCTGCGCACTACTCCACAGCGTCTGATGCACCGCAGCCAGTCCCCAACAGAGGAACACCACCAACGTTAGAATTTATTCAATTGAATTATTCTCTATTTCGTTTTCATTATTATCATATATTTAATTTATACCAATACCCATTTCCAACTTATTTTATTATCCCTCTGAACATTTTTAATGATCGTGGCAACGCATTTTTAATGCGATTTAGACAAGAAAGGAATATAAATTAATTTATTCATTTCTAATACAATTTCATATCTTAATATTTAAGCAATCGCAACAATGCTACATTTTTTATTCTTGAATAATCATAATATTATAAATAAATAACATCTATAATGGCATCCCCATGAACAGTAAGATCATTAACTGTACTCGTATTTAATTGCAAGTATAATAATAATATTTTTTTTTGTGAGCAGTCGCAACCGACCTACGCTGAAGCCATCCACAGCCATTGTATCCAAAAGTACGGAATTTGTGGACATTTACGCCCATCCTCCGAGTAGACCCGCACCTGTTTACCCACAGCCGACACCAGATAAAACAGCGGCCAAATGTAGAAAAGACGTGTGCCTTCTTCCCGATTGTTACTGTGGTGGCAGAGATATTCCTGGTACGTATACTTTTTAGATTTCACCCTTTCCACATTAAAACCATACCTATTTTGTTGCACATTTGTTTACTATAAATATTATTTCTTTATCATAATTTATAACTCAGGAAATTTACAAGTGAGCGAAGTACCCCAAATAGTTTTAATAACATTCGATGATGCCGTCAACGATTTGAACAAAATGTATTACGAAGAGCTCTTCGAAAGAGGACGAGTGAATCCTAATGGATGTCCAATCTCGGCCACGTTTTATGTCTCCCACGAGTGGACAGACTATAGTCAAGTCCAAAATCTGTATGCAGATGGCCACGAATTTGCTTCACACACCGTATCGTAAGTTTAAGTTGAAAGAGCTTCACGTTCTGAACTGGACCTTCTATATCTTTCGGTGAACTCTTTTTGGTATTGCGTCTAACAACCATTCTTGGCCATCTTTATTTATGTATGTATTTTTTTACAGATATTTTATTTTAGGTCTTTACTATCGTAATACTAATATGTGATTTTTTTTCTTTTTTCCTCTTTTCCACTTTCTTACCTCTATACTTAATATTCTTTCCTCTTCCTGGCACGACTTGTATTCACCCAAAACCACATGCACAAACCAACATCCCGCGACAACAGGTGACATGCCGGTGGAGACAGTTCCACAAATCGTTCTTCTGACATTTGATGACTCTGTAAACGACTTGAATAAAGGCTTGTATGCTGACCTTTTTGAGAAAGGTCGTGTCAACCCTAACGGCTGCCCAATCAGTGCAACATTTTACGTCTCACACGAATGGACAGACTACAGTCAGGTCCAGAATCTTTATTCTGCTGGGCATGAGATGGCCTCACACACAGTTTCGTAAGTTATAAATTGATTGAAAATAATATTCATACACTAAACCTAGACTTGCATCTGACTGATATTTTGACTATTTATGATGACTCATTTCTTTTTCATTCTGTATAAATCTGTAATTTTATTGGTAACTTAAAATAACAATTTCTTTCTTTCTACTTGAAACTTGTAGCTTTTGAGAATTTTGTTTGTACCAATGCTACAGAGACCTGTTAATAACAATTCTTTTAAATTTACAGTCATAGTTTTGGTGAACAGTTCACCCAAAAGAAATGGAACAGAGAAGTGGGTGGTCAACGAGAAATCCTTGCTGCATATGGTGGAGTAAAATTGGAGGATGTAAGAGGCATGAGGGCGCCTTTCCTGTCAGTGGGAGGAAACAAAATGTTTAAGATGTTATACGACTCGAACTTCACATACGATTCCTCTCTGCCAGTCTACGAAAACCGACCGCCTAGCTGGCCTTATACTCTTGATTACAAGCTCTTCCATGACTGCATGATCCCTCCTTGCCCAACTAAATCATATCCAGGTATGTCATACTCATTATTAGTAGCTGTTTTTGAAATTTGTCTAAAATTCTTTCCTTTTTTTTCAAGATGTCCATAGAAATGAATTCTGAATAATTTATGTCTAATCTGTTATAGGAGTTTGGGAGGTTCCGATGGTCATGTGGCAGGATTTGAATGGCGGTCGTTGTTCTATGGGCGACGCCTGCGCCAACCCACCTGAAGCCGAAGGTGTTTACAAGATGATCCTGAAGAACTTCGACAGACATTACACTACTAACAGGTATACTATCAGCTCTTTATAGATATCCCGAAAAAAAATTGGCCAAAAGTGACAATATAGACCAACTTTACAAGTATCAGAATCAACTTCCCTGTATGATTTTTTATTTCTCCAATTACCTGCATGTTCTCCAGACCTAGAACATCATCGAACATTTTTTCTTCTGTATTCACAATGGTAGTGACTATCTGCCATAATTGTCTTTTACGTATGTAAAGATTATATTACTCACCTAGATCAGAAATCAATCTTTGGGTATATGTATCTATGTACCCTATAAACAAACCAAATTAATCTTTACATAGTATAAAACAGAGTCACTCCCGCTGTCTGTACACTTAGAACTTTTAAACTACGCTACAGATTTTAATGCATTTTCAGTACTACATATTCAATAGGACGGTTTATAGACAAATGTATAAAATAATACATGCCCGGAAACGAACACTATTGTCTTTTCCGAAGCGAAACAATGACGAGTGACTAGACATTTATAAAATTTCACCTGTGATTCCAGGGCTCCGTTTGGCTTGTACTACCATGCTGCGTGGTTTACGCAGCCGCACCACAAGGCGGGCTTCATCATGTTCTTGGACTTCATCAACCAGATGCAGGACGTGTGGATCATCACCAACTGGCAGGCGTTGCAGTGGGTCCGCGACCCCACCCCCATCTCGAGGCTGAACAACTTCCAGCCGTTCCAGTGTAATTACCAGGTTAGTCATCTTTTAAGTATGATATTATTACAGTACTATTTCAAAATAAAACATTTTAGTATTAAGTTTTTTTGTTAAAATACGCTGAATTATTTCATTTCTACAATCATCGTAATATATGATAAAATATTTTTCTTAGTACTTCACTACGTGCCTCTATATCTTAACTGTTACGACTTTGATTACTTAAGGTGTATTAAAGTATTTATTTTGAATTTTATTCTTTTACCCAGGATCGACCGAAGAAATGCAACAACCCCAAAGTCTGCAATCTTTGGCATAAATCCGGAGTCAGATACATGAGGACCTGCCAACCTTGTCCTGAACAGTACCCTTGGACCGGAAAAACTGGCATCAAATCTTCACGCATCGACAACGAAGCCGGAGAATAAACTCGTGGCGTTTTTAAAATATATAGTAAAAGAAATGACAAATTAGATATTTTAATATGTGAAAGAATGATTCTGATTGATCCATAATTTATACTAGCCTAGGAGGCAAGGATTATTTATGTTATAGTTCTCATTAAAATAAATTGTTTTGTCACCAACTAAAGAGTGCCATTTAGATTTCGATGGTCACAAAGCAAGCTTTGGTTTTAAATATTTCCGGAATGAATAAAAATATACTTGTACCTACCGCTGCATGTGTTAAGTCATCCGCCACATGATTGTATTGGAAACTGTGATATTTAAGTGTTTTCAATCGTCAAGGTGTTCAATATTTATAATTTTATACGTGCTTTATTTTTTTATACTTAGCAATTTTTTGTGCAATGGTCTTTTGCGATATTTTTCCTATTTTGTGTTCTTTTAGATATACCTAAAATAATACTCTTTTGTAATTATTGATAATGAAATTGTGTACTATTAAAGTATTTACAGTTGTATTGGTTTTTCCAAACAATTACGATTTTCAGTTATTGTACAATTTTCATTGTTTTGTAACGACGATGTCACAAATATTCTTACCACAAATCACTAATTCAAATATTTTATTAAAAAGCCATACTGTTTTTTAGTTGAAAAGCTTTTTTTTCTTGCCAGCTGCGTGGTTGACACTGCCACTTTATAACTGTAAATATAATATAGGTATTAATTAGTATTAATTGATTAAGTTCGTAATGATCCATAGGAAAATTGCCTCATGGGGTTAGTCATGTGATGTTTAAATACAGCAATAAAATAACGTCGAATTTATAAATCAAAAATTATTTTCCAACGTTGTGTAGACGTCTGTTGACATCGTCAATGAATTGATGTAGCACATGTCTATGTGACATTTTTGATAAATAAAGAGTTAAGCTTACTTTTCAATTTTAGTAATTTTTATTGTGATTTTGATACTGAAAGTTATCCATAATAACAAATCTGATATGTCAAACTTTTAATTTAAGGCTTCTGTACGCTGCAGCAACTAAAGTTATTGGAACTGCTCGCGAATCTATTTAAAAAGAAATATTATCATCATTATCTATAAGTCCTATTATTGTAAATATTAGTTTAGTATTTAAAAACGGTAGTTTCACTTTTAAACTCGTATTTTCACTATTCGGCACATAGTCAAATGTTTCGGTTATTGTAGAAAACGTAATGTGATGAACCTTAGATGCACAGGTAAATTTACGTAAAGATCATAGGGAAGTTATAGGAAGGCTTATTTATGTACAAGGGTTGAAAGATATTGTGACCTGTGCTGATCAATAAAATATTATAAACAGAAACTTTCTTTTTATTTTTTGCCAACCGGAGGAGATCCTGAATTCGTCTAGTTATTTATTTTGGTTTTTCACCCTATTTTTACTTTAAATAAGATTAGACTTTTCCATATTTTTACTTTTTTTGTCTGAATAAGTTTCTTTAGAGATGTTTCGATATCAATTTACTGATAAGAATACTTCACAATGTGGTTGGGTGTTTTATTATGTGTGAGTTTTTTTACATCAACAATGTTCGCGTTTGGATTTCGGATTTGCAATATGCTCGCTGACGCCACCTAGTGTTCGATCTGCGAACCTGTCCAGATGTCAGATATGTGGGTACTGCGAATTTTGTTATGTTGCGGGTACTCAAACTTAATAACGGTTATTGGCTCGTCATTTCCAACGGCCGCTCTCTGCTGTTTCGCGTGCAGATCGGTCGTACGCACATATCATTTTAACACGCATCGCGTAACTGTCTCGGAAATTGCGTTAAAGATTTCAACCGCACCCAGAGGAAGAAAGAAAGAGCTGCTTCGGCTGTGCCCACGCGTGCAAGCCCGATAAGGAGGCAGAGAGACATCCAGCTGTGTCGTTGGTGGCATTGCGCCTAATTCGATTTCCACTTGCTGCATAGTTGATGTTTCTTTGTGTTCAACCAGCTCGTACGTAATAATTCGCCCGCCGCATATATATATATATCTTAATATATATAAATCTCATGTCACAATGTTTGTCCTCAATGGACTCCTAAACCACTGAACCGATTATAATAAAATTCGCACACCATGTGCAGTTCGATCCAACTTGAGAGATAGGATAGTTTAAATCTCAAATTATAGTCGCAATTTTAATTTATTGCAAATTATTACTTTTGGGCGGTACGAAGTTCGCCGAGTATATAAACCCGCATTCCAGTGGATGGCTATTTACACGCCATACCACAATGAAAAACCACATATTTACGTAAGACCAAAGGAGTAGAAAATAGACATTATGGGGATGCGCATACCTACTTAATAAGGTAAAGTTTCTTTAACTTCTATATCAAACAAAACAAATCATAATCATCTTCTTCCTCCTGCCCTTTTCCTATCTTTATTTGTGCTTTGATAATCTTGTGCACAAGGATTTACTGTGCTGGGTTGGTTGTCATTGTTAAAATGTTTTGGGATATTCACTCTCTTTTCCCGGTGGTCCACCGCAAGTATTCCAAAAAAAATCCACCAAGAGGCTGGAAGTCTGCCTCTTGTTCGTTCTTTTATCACAGTTTTCAAGGAGTAGTTTTCTTCTAGTTTTCTTCTAGTTTTCTTCTCGCCTCATTACACGACTATTCCATCTAAACCTGTTCAATATTACAGTTTCTCGGTCACCGGAGCCCCAAAGGAACCTCTAACAAATTCGTTTTGTGTTCTATCCAAGCGTGACCCACTCGCTCAGTGGAACATTTTCATCTCCGCTGTGTGTAGTTATCGTTTCCTTAATGAAGTCCGACACTCAGATCGCCGGTCTGACGACAGTTTTATACACCTTCGTTTTGATTTTGATACGCATTTTGGGACCATAAAGTATGTCTGACAAAGATCTCCATTTCATCCAGCTGGCAATTATTAAGTGGTTCACAACTTTATCAATGGAGCAATGCGAAGCCAGCATAGAGTCTGAATATTAAAAACAGGACACCTTAAGATCATTTTTTTTATAATTACGATTCTATAGCCCGCTTTTTCGAGTACCTGGAAGTCCATCATTTTGGATCTTCGACACCCACTGATCAGACTGCAGATGCAGCCGGGAGCAACGTGCCTTCCGAAGCACGGAGGAACTGGAGATAGAAGATTTTTGGTCACCCATCCAATGACCGACCACTACGAAAGTTGCTTAATTTACCGATCGCAGCCGAATGCGATAACCACCTGCGCCATCGAGCTCCATCTTCAGAAATTATCTACCTGTAAATTTAATATAAATACTGGTGATAAGTATTATTAGTATTGCTAAGGAGGGTAGGTACATAGTAAACAGCGCAGTGACTCGCGATTTCAAGACAGACTAGATATCGCATGCTTGAAATTGTGTGATCTAATTGTCTCTTTATACACAAAGAGCACATCTCTTTGAAGACGCTTTGGAATTAAGATGAGACGAGACTGTCTTTAGGCTCTGAGAATAACATGACAGCAAATTGTGTAGTAGTTACAGAACTTATAATTTTATTTTTTTACCAAAGAATGTCCGATTAATTTCTAATAAAGTAAAAAAATAATAGAAAAATAATAGTGAAGGACATTCGTTGGTGCATGCTGGGGCAGATTTCGTCGATGTCCTTTCGCCTTTGACGTAGACGTACGTAAAAATAAATAAAATCATATTTAGTTTCTTATTAATTTATTGATTGGACCCGGCACCCGCACGCTGAATCCGTGGATTGCTAAGAAGTTCGCCTCTCTTTTGTTTGTCGGCTTGGCATGGATTCTTAGATTACCTAACTTTAACTTTTAGTGTCTTAAGATATATGTAAAACATAAATTATTTCTATTTTTTATTGTTTACGAAGTTGTTCCATACGAAGAAGTTCAAGGTACATGTGTAATAATAAACATGATGATGTAAATAATAAAAAACTCGGGCAACCTTCGTACAAAGTCATGGTATATGACCGTGACCACGATAGCTTTGCAGTAGTCATTAAAAATGAAATTTCAATCATAGCACCTGTCTGATGACATTTTGGATGTATTGGACTAGTGAGTATATAAGCGAATCACACTAGTAAAAGTAAATCAGATGTTGGAGAGCAGTTTGCTCAACATGAGTCGCTTTGTAATATTTATAATTAATATAGTAATCTTTCAACTTGCTGTTTGTGAAGAAATAATTTACTACCCTTCGAAATCATCACTAAAAATTTATAAATCTGATAAAAGCCCACATAAGATAAAGTATGCGACTGAATCTTCTAATGTTTCAAACTCTTCAATTATCAATAATTGGAGATATTTCGTTGATAACGATTTTGAAGTCAAAACTAAAACAAAAAAAAGGGCAGTTGACCCTATTTTCCACGGTCACCCTAAAACCAGAGAAGAACTTTGGAATGAACATTTTATTAATAAAAGTAGTGCATTCGATCAAACGCCTTCCTTAATAAAGTTGATTCACAATATTACCTTGACCTATCTTAATGATTGTACACCAGTATTGCTTTACGATAGCCAAGTACAATCACGCGAGAGCTATTTATTCCAGGATCTCCTTAAAGATTTTCCTGTGTCATGCGTTCATGGGTACATCAACGATGATAATAAATTGAAAGAACCCAATCTTTTGATTCCTGCTGAAGAGTGTCTTCATTACATAGTTTTTCTATCAGATGTATCAAGTAGTGCTAAAGTACTCGGTAAACAGTCACAAAGCAAAGTTGTAGTGGTCGCCAGGTCATCACAATGGGCAGTTAAAGAATTTTTGTCTGGTCCATATTCAAGAATGTTCGTGAATTTACTAGTGATTGGACAAAGCTTTAAAGACGATGACGACGATACATTAGTAAGTAGAAACATCATCATCATCATCATCATCATATCAGCCGTACGACGCCCACTGCTGGACATAGGCCTCCCCCAAGGATCTCCACAACGATCGGTCCTGCGCTGCCCGCATCCAGCGTTTTCCCGCGACCTTCACCAGATCGTCGGTCCACCTTGTAGCGGGTCTTCCCAGTGAGCGTCGTCCGGAACTCGGTCGCCATTCGAGAACCTTTCTGCCCCAACGGCCATCGGTTCTCCTTGCTATGTGTCCCGCCCACTGCCACTTCAGCTGGGCTATTCTTCGAGCTATGTCGGTGACTTTAGTTCTCCTACGGATCTCGTCATTTCTGACTCGATCACGCAGGGAAACACCAAGCATAGCTCTCTCCATTGCCCACTGGGCGACCTTGAGCCGAGTAGAAACATCATTAACATATTCACTGTTTGGGCACAGACCTTGTTTAACGAATCACATATTATGGTGTAAGAGCCATAACCTACCATGCAGACATAGTAAAGGATGACGGGTGTCAATATCACTAGATGCAACCAGGACCAATAATACAACATACCTATTGGAGCTTGGAAGGGGCTAAATATAGTATACTAGCTGACCCAGCGAACTTCGTACCGCCCTAAAAAAATAGGGGTTGTCCAGCGGACAAAATTGTGAATCTAAACCATTCTCAGATCCCCTTGAACACACACAAAAAAAATCATCAAAATCGGTCCAGTCGTTTAAGAGAAGTTCAGTGACATACACACTCACAGAAGAATTATATATATAAAGATAATGATGACTTCATAGCTGCGCATTGCAAAAATTACTCAATTTTCACAATCCGATGTCCGAAATTGAAAGAGTCCATATCATTCTAATCAAACACGTTACTTTAAATACAGGAAGCGCCATACATTTTATATACTCATAAATTGTATACTGATGGACTGGGTGCTAGTAAGCCAATTGTCCTGAGTTCCTGGGCACATGGAAAGTTTTCAAGAGATGTGAATTTATTTCCTCGCAAGTTGACCGAAGGTTATGCTGGACACCGATTTATCGTTTCTGCGTCTAATCAACCTCCGTTCGTTTTTAGAAGGTAATTAGTGTATTATAATGTAATTTATTTGAATTATATGTCATAGTAATAGGACTAAAAATGATATTGAAGAAAGAAATATACTGTATTTTTTTATGAGATATCACATCGATAAATTGTTTAAAACATTATGTTTTTATTTTTTATATATACTGCTAAATGTTAAAACATTTAATAAAGTAAATTTTCATCCAAATTATCAATTTAGGATAAAAACAGATCTAGACGGTGGCAATCCAAAAGTGGTTTGGGATGGGATAGAAATAAGGCTTTTACAACTTCTCGCCGAGAGGAATAATTTTTCGATCGAGATTTCCGAACCCCAGGAGCCTCATTTAGGGTAAAATGAATTTAATGAGATTGTTTCACACACTTAATTATTTATTTAAGAAACATATCTTATACCCTTCTAGTGCTGGTGATGCAGTCGCGAAGGAAGTGACCATGGGTCGTGCTGACGTTGGTGTGGCGGGAATGTATTTAACAAGTGACAGGATCAGAGATATGGATATGTCGTTTTCACATTCCCACGACTGTGCTGTCTTTATCACATTGATGTCCACAGCTCTACCACGGTTTGGTTTTGGTTATTTCGATTTGTCTAACTGCAGACATCCTATATTCTTAGAAGTTTTTATTTCCTATTTCACAGATACCGCGCCATCCTTGGTCCATTTCATTGGCACGTCTGGGTGGCTTTGACATTTACTTACCTAATAGGAATATTTCCCCTGGCCTTCTCTGATAAACATACGCTTAAGCACTTGTTACATAATAGTGGGGAAATTGAAAATATGTTTTGGTATGTCTTTGGAACGTTCACCAATTGCTTTACTTTTGCCGGGAAAAATTCTTGGAGCAAAACCAATAAAATTACCACTAGGATCTTAATAGGTAACATCTTGATCTGGTAATGTATCCGTAATAGAAAGATCGTTTATTGTATTCTTGCGATTTGCACTATTAATGATTTTAGGGTGGTACTGGCTTTTCACAATAATAATTACGAGTTGTTATACTGGCTCTATAATAGCTTTTGTGACTTTACCTATTTATCCTGAGACTGTTGATACGATAGATGAGCTTCTGAGAGGATTTTATCGTATTGGAACACTAGGTAAGTTATTGTATGTGCCTGTGATTCGTTTATACGAATCACAGGCACATAATAATAAATTTAATTTCATTGATATGTTTAAAAATGGAATTAATGAATACAAAAAACTTTTAAATGATGTAATTGAATGAATGAACTGTTATTATTAAAACTTATTTATTTGTCAATTTGATTTGTGTAAACTTCTCTGTTGCTTTGTTTTTGTTTGTTTTTTATTTCAATTCAATTTATGTCGTATTTAATTTAACTTTATATGATTTTTTATTAAATACACAGCTGCTCATAACTGTACTAATTGTTAGTGGAAAGGAGATTGCTCAAATTGGCCCAAATGCACAAAAAATATTGACATACACGGTAATTCTTGGCGTAATTTATAATTTGATTTACAGTCATTAGATTTCAACGGACACCTTTGTATAATATATTTACTTTAAAAAGGACTTTTAATTTTACCGGTTTGGAAAACATACGAATCATTTTTAATGGCTATGGGTGTAGTAACATTCAGCCAAAGACTGATCGAAGTTGTTTATATAAGATAAAAACAAATCTATTTTGTTAAGATCGATAAAATAAATCATTTTTTTAGTACAGATCCACAACTATCTTATCATTTTCACTATATGCAAATGTGCTCAGACAATTATTATAGATGGTAGGCAACATCATAAAGTCTATTGCCATACATTTTTCGCCAAATACCTCCATAAACACATTATAATCTGTATATATGTATAGACTTTAAGGTATCTATCTAAGGGCCTACGTTGCCTGATTATAAATAAATAAAATTATAAGGTGTGATACACTAAAAATCTTAAATATGGTTATATTAAAAACATAACAAAAATAACGAAGCTACTGAATATATGGCTATATAACCTAAATCTCTTAGCTTTCTTTGGTTATCGAGAGTTTAAAAATTCTCTCTAATCTGTGGCTCATTCACAATCATCACACAGTTTCTGTCACAGAGTACCTTATTATAACCGGAAATGCCTAGATGACACCTGATTTTAAAAAATACTCTTATGCATTAATTTTAAAAGCAGGCAACTATCTGTTAATCTACATGCTCTATATACCTGAATCTAATCCATAATTTCGGTACTTGGCTTGATTTCCCTAGTTTACTATATAACTTATTTGTTTTTTATTATTTTAATATGTTCAGTGTATATGGTTTATAGAAGTTCTCAGGGGTGTCCGTCAATAATATTCGTTTCTACAGTAATTTATATATGATTTCGAATCTAGGAAACAATATTTCATGATTATTGGTCTTTAGGCCAAACATGTATGGAAGCTGAGCAATCTCCTTTGTTGATGTATGTCAATCTATATTTAATTTATCTAAATGTAATAAAATATTGTTTGTTTCCCAAAAAAAAAAAAAAAATAAGTAGGTATTTAATTAGGCCTGATAAGATCTGTGTGCCTATCTAATAATCGCATATAAATTTTTCTAGACCGCGGTGGATGGGAAAGGTGGTTTCTAAATTCCTCGGATGCGAAAACGAATAAACTCTTTAAAAAGATAGAATTTGTCTCTAATGTTGGATTTGGCATAAGGAATACAACTAAAGCATTCTTCTGGCCTTATGCATTTTTGGGTTCGCAAGCCGAACTGGAATACATTGTTCAAGCAAATTTTACAAAGACGAAGTAAGAATATTTAAATAATACTGTTCAAAATTTGCTTGTATTTTTAAGTATATAAAAAAATATGATTTTTTAGATCAAAACGGTCGGTATTGCATATATCCAATGAATGTTTCGTACCATTTGGCGTGTCCATGAGTTTCCCGAATAGCTCTTTATATTCTGCCAAATTAAGCGCAGATTTAAGAAGAATGTACCAAACTGGAATTGTGGATAAGATAGTAGATGAAGTGCGCTGGGAGATACAACGAAGTAGCACTGGTAAACTATTATCAGTAAGTAATGACTGTGTGTGTACTTGTTTGCAATTGCAAAGCTGAAACAAAGTTCTCTTTATACTGATCATCAGATCATCATCATCATCATCACCAGCCTATTAATGTACCCACTGCTGGGGCACAGGCCTTCCCTATGGATGAAATAGGGAGATTGGGCCATGACCTACCACGCGGGCCCAGTGCGGATTGGTGGGTGCTAACGACTGCAGATGCAACCGGGACCAACGGCTTAACGTGCCTTCCGAAGCACGGAGGGGCTCGAGATAGTAAATTTTTGGTCACCCATCCAATGACCAACCACTGCGAAAGTTGCTTAAGTTTAACGATCGCAGCCGAACACGCTAACCAGTAGCGCCATCGAGCTCCTCATCATCATCGAGATCATCAGATACGTGAAGATATTATTAATAAGTATCTTAAGTCTTAGGAGGTAATGAAATATTTTGGTCCTGGCACAGATTGCCAATGTTAACCCGAAAGCCTTGAGAACTGCAGCTCAACACCAAGGGTCTGGTCTGCATGAAAATTGATTTAAGCCCGACCGCAAAATATACGATGTTTGAAAATTTCTGACGCTCGCCGGAAGGTACTCTGCCCATACATTTTGTACTAGACCCCGTATCTGACATCCGATGTCTATGAACCGGATGCAAATAAACAGAGAAACGATAGAAAAGAAAACGAGGGGTTGCACTACGGGAGTGCCGGCAGAAGTGAAAACTTGAATATTAACGTTGTGCATTTTTGATGTTTTGGAATGGTTAGGGAATAATTTTGCAGGAATTGCTTTAATTATCAGTATTAAAGTTCTATCGTGTATGTGTTAGAATACAATATTTATTTATTGCGCTATCGTACACAAACATGATAATTTATATTACATTAAAAATGTTTAACAGAAAAATCAACTTACATTAATCACGTTTAAGCGCACTTAGCGACATCTATTGTAAAAAAATGCATTTTCTTCGCAATAAAGCTGCCACGTGGACGTCCTAGATAGAGACGTATTATTATAATACGATAAATAAAATATTACTATGTTTCGTCCAATATATTGAAAGTCAACAACCTTTCCAATTTTATTGTGTGTCATGGTGCGATCAGCCCACGTGTTTAACCTGACGCGAGTTTAACATTATTTACCCATACAAAAAAAAGTGTACAACGCCGCTAAAGAAGTTTTCACTTCAAAAACGCTAATACAAGTAAGGGATGGTTGTCCATTTGGTTTTTTCATTACTCTGTGTAAATCCCACAGTTCCAAAAATGCTGACGACCATCGGCGAACTAAATACGGACTCGCCACACGACGATGCGCGATGGGTGTGTGAGTGGCGAACGTCACAAATTTCGTTCAGATAATTTCGTATATGAGACCAAGCTAAGGGGTACTTAGTGATTACCTATCTAATGCCGCGTCCTATATACTAAATATAAAATTTATTGTAACTATATATCTATATCCTAAATAATGTAATGGAAGGTGACTTCAGAAGTATTTCTGAAGTCATTTTTCAACTTGACGACTCTGTATATATTAATACAGGGAGAAAAAAGCAGCCCTTGCTGAGTTTCTTGCCGGTTCTTCTCAGTACAAGCTCTCCTGCCGTAGTTTTGCGAACCGATGGCGTAGCTTCTTGACCTTCACAAGTGCATGTAACAGCCAAGACTGAATAAATGACTTTTCATTTCATTTCATTACGATAATAGGGATCTCTTGGACTCATTAACAGACTAATGATGAGTAGTTTCATTGCACTCACTGTTTCCACAATAGGTAGTCAAGATACTTTTGTTTAAGAAATCAAAACAATTACGGTATTTTATCTACACTCATGTACTTTATAAACGCACATACATAAAGTTTAAATTATACAATTATATACTGCTAGCTGTATCGTAAAATATATTATTTTTATATAAGAGCACACTTTTATTTTTTAATTTATTAAATTAGGCTTAATTAGTAGAAGATCCGAACCTACAGCGACCTTTAATAGAATGAAACATATTTTATCATGAATTAGAAAATATATTAAAATTTGGTTGCCTAAAAAAATCTGGACAGACTATTTTTAATTAATTTTTCAATAAATATTTTTAATTAAATGTTGCAACATCAAGATATTGATAAGAAAGTCCAGAATTTTTTAGGCAACCCATTTTTAATATATTTTGTAACTACTACTACTAAATTCATAATAAAATATGTTTGTTTCATTCTATTATCAGCTCGATGTAGGTTCGGATCTTAGACCAAATGTAAAAATGAGGGCGCACGCATTCGAAATTTTAAATTAATTTCTCGCGCTTCCATACAATTTTCTGCCGACCGGGTTTTGGTTTCGGGATTTCAGAAAAGTTTTGCAACATACCTTTTTTGTTAGTTTGTTTAATTTCAATTGTTCCTATGAGTGAAGATAAAGTTGTGTATGCAACTGCATATAATTTAGGTATTAAAACACTCGAATCAACCTACGGCTCGGAATTCGCGCGCAACCTAAGGGCACTTGACGTCAGAGGCCCGTCTGGGTGAAAGCGAGCGAGTGGTTATAGCTGATAAACAGACTCCTGTTTATACAATAGGTTGACTCGAGTGTTTTAATAAGTTAGTAAAAATTATAAGTTACATGAGAGTTCGTGTTTTAATAACCCTTCTTATATGGCAGTCCGCATAAACTAGGTACTATTAACCACCGAACTCGATAGAATACCAACCGAAGAGTTCTTATTATCATCATTAGCCTATTAATGTCCTCACTGCTGGCTATGGATGGAATAGGGAGATTGGGCTATGACCAACCACGCTGGCCCAGTGGGGATTGGTGGGTGCTAACTACTGCAGATGCAGCCGGGACCAACGGCTTAACGTGCCTTCCGAAGCACGGAGGAGCTCGAGATAGTAAATTTTTGGTCACCCATAAAATGACCAACCACTGCGAAAGTTGCTTAACTTCAACACTCGCAGCTGAACGCGCTAACCACTTGCCCCTTCCAGATCTTATTCCTAAGCTTTATAAAGCTGTATTGTATTACATCCAAGAATAAAACCTAGGGTGATTTGTGGGTGCTAACTACTGCAGATGTAGCCGGGACCAACGGCTTAACGTGTCTTCCGAAGCACGGAGGAGCTCGAGATAGTAAATTTTTGGTCACCCATAAAATGACCGACCACTGCGAAAGTTGCTTAACTTCAACACTCTCAGCTGAACGCGCTAACCACTTGCCCCTTCCAGATCTTATTCCTAAGCTTTATAAAGCTGTATTGTATTACATCCAAGAATAAAACCTAGGAAATCAGAGGAAATGATTTAGAGATAGTAAGTATAATAAATATGGTTCACGTGTTGTCTTTATTTTAGGCGGGGAACGGTGGCCTCAGAGTGGTATCTGTTGAAGAAAAGGGCTTGACTTTAGAGGACACACAAGGCATGTTTCTTCTCCTTGGTGCTGGATTTCTCTTCGCTGCAGCGGCTCTTATTTCCGAGTGGATGGGTGGTATAACCAAGCGATGCCGTCTGCGAAGAAAAGTGCCATCCAGCGCCAACTCTCAGAAGCAGTTGATAGGATCTCCTGATAAGGAATATGTAACAAACGGAACAGATAGCAGATTGCATTTTGATACCAGACCTTCTAGTGCTGGTTCAGCAGATACTTTAGATGGTCAAGTAATTAATGTCACAGAGGAAAACATCTTGGTGCATAACAGTGTAGACTTTGATGGGTGGGATTCGAGAAGATCAAGCTCAGTCGATTTAGACCGTGAAGTGCAGGAGATTTTTGAAATAGATTTGCGACGACGCCATGTTGTTTGTGATGATATCATTGAAATATCTGAAGAAAACAGAGAATCTACAGTTTCAAAGGGAGCATTTGGTGAACCCGTCAATGCGCAATAGTGCTTATTCATTATGGCGTTTGTTTAGAAATTGCGAATAAATAATATGTTAATTAAAACAGTAAATATGACATCCAACTCTTTATTATCCTTCGAACAGTCATCAAAATAATTTATAACAATTCTTCTAACACTGTCGATAAACATTAATATTTCATTCAGCCACTGAGATGTTTCATCATTCATCGTACATTTTATACACAGGGCAGAATTGGCTGCCTTGACACAGAAACACAGGCGCCGCGAGACCTAAATTAATGCAATATTTGGCCCGGCCTTATCTTAGAAAATAATAATTATATTATGACTTAATTTGCGAGAGGCGCCACCAAAACCGTAGCACCCCTCTCATTATCAGTAAAAATATCGATAAAATACAACAGATTTTGCATTATTTGTAAATTCAAACGAAAATATACCTAATACCTACCTAAGCATTTTGTTATTTATGTATTGCACAACTGATGTTATGAGAGAAAATTAATGTGAAATCGACTTGAGTATTCATTAAGGATATGTATTATATTCCTATAATCTATTTGGGTTGTTCATAACTTGCTGTGAAACAATAGCAAAGAGAGACGAGGGAACACGGTACACATTAATATCTAAGGTGGTGAAATCAGAATAAGATTTCGTATATTTCATACTTAACACTATACTTTCCATTAAATGCAATGATTACTCATCCTAAAGGTAATAAGTTAACCGAATTAAGACCGTTTGCTATTGGTGCACAGCGTATAAATAAGGATAAAACATACAAGAAAGTAGGTACATCTAAAAACAAACCAAGCAAACACTTTTTACAAGACGCACACGACACGGTTGTGCGTTGAAAAAAATGAATATAATAACATTATACAATATTTACTAATTAAAAGTGAACTCATTCCCGATAGTAATATTCACAACCTCGGAAATAATGCTCCCAATACCAGCTTACTGTTGAATATTTTATTTATACAAGGTAAGTCAATATTTTATGTGCGCGCGACAATTGAAGCACGCCGCCATAGCAACCCTGCCACATGTGGATGTGACCATTATTATTTGATCAAGAACCAACAACTATATCTCTTATACAAATCGCAATACAGCTCCTTTTCATACTTTAATTTTGTGCAAATCGTCATTATATAACAATATTGACTAATTACAATTTAGTGTTTGCAATGGACCTTCCATTAGTGCAAATTGTGATAGGTATGTAGGTAAACGCGACAGTATTACTATATATTGTTTTAAACTTTCATGGTCACTAACATTATAGTAATATAAGTTATTTACGGGATTGTTACCATGTACCTTGTTTTTAGCGAGTTTCCGATATTTCTGCAATAAAAGACTTCGTCGGAGGGTAGACCGATATGTCTGCCAATAACAGCCTACCCGCAATTACTTCAGTTACTCCGTGATCATGGCGCTTGCAACAGTGCCGAAATATCGGA